TTCGCCAAGGGATCGCACATTAATATTAGGTTGTTCGAAAAGTCCTGCGACACTTTGATTGAATTGTTCTAGAAAAAGACCAAAAATCATTTTGGATGTTTTTATCCCTGATTAGTGGAGACTGTCCTCTGGGGTTTCTGCACATGGGTATATCATGACTTTGTGGAAGTTTTCAAAGCTTAAAAGTCCCTCAGAGATCGAGGTACTTTTCGACCTATCCCATATTATGAGTTCCTGTAGGGCCACTCCGTAGTCGAGGAAGCTAACACTTACGTTGTCTTGAGGAAGGATATCGCTTGCCATGGCAGAGGGTAGCTTTTGCATCAGCGCTTCCAGGCTGGACTTATTTAACTCGTAGTTAGGCAATGTATAGGTCGCCCACCAGCACAGAATGACGGCCCTTTACTCAAGCTTCTTGAGGCGCAGCCGAACCAGTAAGTTGGCAACCTCTCTAGGCTCCACCTAACTGACAACTGCCATGCTTCTCCGCAATCTCGGTTATCGGAAAAATTTTTTGTGAAGGATGCCTCATGAGTTGGACCCGTCTGAAGTCATACCGAATGACCGTGACTGAGTTTTCTTTTCCTTGTACACAGCGAGACTTTTGGGAGATCTTGTGGTTGGTAGCGAGTGGTGGAGTCCTTGCGTACAATACACATGTCCTCGCAGGATCCTCTCAAAAAAGAAAAGTAGATTGGCTTAGCAAAGGGATGTGCATGGATAAATATTTGATCAGTGATGTTAATTGGTGGGTACTTGTCAAAGCGGTACCACTGGATACCAGCACCTTTGAAAGGAAAGCACAGTCCACCTTAATCAACTTCACAATATGGATGACGTCATGCTTGAATTCATTCAGAAATACTCAATTTTTCTCTACTACTCGGCAATGCGAACGAACAACCGCATGTGGGGATCAGGCTAGCCAAAAGATCATAGGATTTCGATCAGATAGAGATGCACCGTACACCAGGTATTTCCATTAAAGTGCAGGCCTCTATTACTATCTGCCTTTGGTCCGCTATCGCGATCCTTTTAGAAGCGAAAATTCCGAAAATCGATCTCAACTCAACAGAATGAGGTCCATCTTTCTTTTTATCATAGTTGCCGTAGTTTTATGAGAATGGAAATGAGAAACTGTGCAGACAATGTTTCTTAGGAAATGGACAGGTGTGAGAGTGATGGGGACTCATGTGTTCATTTGTGACCTCTTTTGACAAAAGAAAGGGCACTGTCTAGTCATCAACTGCGTTACGTTAGGCAGGATTGGAGATGTCTTTTGAGCGACGGAAATTTATGTCCGAAAAATTTGGTCAAAAGACTGTCGCATTACTTTTCAAACAACCTAATAAAGGATCATGTTCTTACATGAGTCCCGATCACTCTCACACCTGTCCCATTTCCTAAGAACATTGTTGAGTGCAGCGATATCTTGGGCGAGACCATTATCGGATAGTGCTATTGCGTCTATCTGCATCGACATTCAGGAGTGCCTCAAATTTTAACACCTCAGTAGATTTTATCAAATAATTGGAGTGCAAGGAATAACTGGCGAGACGAACGGGTGGTGCTCTCTGGTATGTGCTTGCAAGTCAGTACGGCCATCAAGAAGAATTTATCCCTATGTTTGTCGAAACACATTTTACTGCACGTTGGTCGCAGCTTACATACTGTCTCATAATATTCTGATTACTTGAAGCAGAACGGTTTCGGTTCGAATACTTGAACTTTGGACGTTCACGGGCATCAAGAAATGCAATGGAGCCAGGGCACGCTATCAGTGTGAAGGTCACAGCGGAGGTCGTATTTGACCGCAAGGGAGGGGGGGGGGGGTCGTGATTGGTCTGAGCGAACATTTTTGTGATGTTTCGAGAAGAGGGCAACCAGAGAATCTAGCGACAGTACTATTTCAATAGTCCGGAAAATGAAATTGATTCGAAGCCTGAGAGCTTCCTCTCACCCCCCCCCTAGACACCAAAATTTTGGGGAAAAACAAGAAACTTTTCGGGAAAAAATGGAAAAAGTGGTAGGAAGTTGGGGAAAATCTAGGAAAGTGGTTGGGCACGGCTGTATGGGAGGGGGCAGAGAGATACATATTTGGGGTGGAATTAGAGGAGGGGGGGTCGTATATTTCAGGAAATGATCACAACACGATGGCGTGCCCTGAATGGAGCACACTTTATGCAGTTGCACTTCATTCTGTCTTGAGATAAACTATTGAATATGCATCTGAATGTGTGCTGCATCCCAAAAGGTATCGATAAACGAGCAGGACTTCATCCTTCTATCCTTCTGATATTTGTGACTGCACTGCAATGTAGACATCAGAAATTTCGATTCGTTCCGAACAAATTTATCTTGATGAGATTAGATTACATGATTTGATAACCACATCAGACCTGATACAACCAGTCTCTCCAGCAATGAGGGAAAATCAGAACTCACTAAATGGGTGTCAACGGAAAACAAATTGGGACCGTTCTTTTCTCAATATAAATATCATTCATTACTAAGAACTAATTACTCACAGCTCACGAAATGTTATAATGTGTACGGACCTACTTTAATAATACTGATTTACCAGTAACTTCCAACAACTACTCTGCCGATTGTTATTAGTAAAAAAAAGTAGCAGTGATCCTGTAAGTTTCTTGACCTGATGAGTGAGAAGCTTAGTGGTTTCCTTTCATCATAAACAACCATTCAAAGGGGGGGGGGTGTGTGACCTACGGTGGTGATCCTTTGCGGGGTATGTACGCTTAAGCAGCCATCGGTCCAGATAGCAGGCTCTCCAGATTTCGCTGTTGTAAACCTAATAGTTCTCAATTTTTGATGTCAGTACGATTCTCTTTCTCCTTAATGATGAAGCTGTTCAGACATGCACTCTAGTTCGCTGTGGACGGTTGGGCGTGGCAGCCAGTATGAGTGTTTCACACCTTCAAAGCTTTTCTCCGCGACAAAAAGTGGTAGAAAAAGAATATACGAAGGGTACGACACAGTAGTACGACTTTTGCCGCTTCACAATTTGGAGGACGAACGAGTTTGGAACCGCGCCACCAGCCGCACTGAAGACGCCAACATCCGCAGTGAACCTGCACTATAACAAACAACACTGCCAGAGGGCTAAGTCAGGACAGCTTGTTTCTGGGGTTATGGGAAGAATTTTTTTTCACAAACCTCTGGAAAGGGCCCCCTTGGATATTTTTTTTGATTTGCATGGCCTTGCCATTAGGAACGGGAAGCCTTTCGTAGGGCCACTGCCTACCGTGAGCACACCAATCTATGGGCGGAGCAGCTTTTTCATCGTTCTCGCGCATCACGTCGGAGCACGTCTGTTCTCAAGACTTAATTTTGTCCATATCTGACAGACGAATAGTAACCCAGAGCCACCAGTATTGCATGGGTAGACTTCAGCGTGGAAAAAAAAATCGCGCTTCATCTAGACTTGGTCAGGTTCCAATAGCTACTCATGTTTCTAATCAGACCACGTCAATGTATGGGGATCCAAGCAGGAGGGACGCTGGGGGAGTGGAGGAAGAAGGGAAGGAAGGGTCGCTGGGGAAGGATTTGGTCGCTGGGGGAGTGGAGAAAACTCTTTTTAGTAGTTGAATTTTTTCACGGGAAGGGAAGGAAGGGTCGGGAGGATTTGGTCGCTGGGGGAGTGGAGAAGACTCTTTTTGATAGTTGAGTTTTTTTCACGGACGGCTATACAGGAGGGTCGTATTCGGTCGTTGTTGGGAAAGTGGATCACATTTTGCCGGTTTCGAGAGAAATTGTGCAGGCGTTTGGCAAAAAAGTTTCGCTGGTTGTTGACATTTTCGCGCTTTCCCTTTTCACATGCGCTATATATCTTTCCCCCCACCCCAGTTCAGCTTGACAGAGCAAAAGTCCGGTGGAAAAGGATTAGGAAGTTGGAGAAATCCAAGAAGAAGGTAGGTGGAGAGGTCATATTTAGTGTGAAACTTTTTATTGATAGACTTCTTGTTCCACCGACGCTATAGAGGGACGGAGTCGTATTAGATCGTTGTTGGGAGGAAGAGGCGGGGTCGCAATTGAGCCTTCTGAAAAAATGCTTTGCGGCGCTTAGGAAAATTTTCTGGCGTTGTTCTTGTTTCTTCTTTCAAACCTGTGGCTGTATGCCCGTGGCCCCCTCTCATCGACATCTCGAGCAGCAAAATTTGGAAAGAAAATGGAAACTAATCGGGAAGATCCGGAAAAGTGGTAGAGTTTGGGGGAATCTGAAAAGAAAGTGGTAGTTAGTAAGGAGACTGCCCGACAGCTCGATGCGTGTGGAGCACAGGAACCCCGTGGGACAGCTCGATCGTGTCGGAGCAGGAACCCCGTGAGGGAGGTATCAAGCCACCTTTTAGGGGGAGGTCGTATGGGTTCGACCCAAATCCTCAACTAAAAGTGTGCCCTGGTTAGAGGAGGGAATGAGGGGGAGGGGGTCATATTTCCTGACAAATCTCTCCAGCGGCAGGCCATGCCCTTTTTCTAATAGCGTGCAGTTCGTATCATGGTAGAATACTGAATACTGTATACTGAAAATGAGTGATAGTGTCTGATCGTTGCGAAGCCTGATACACGACCCCGGGGAAGCCGCGATTTCGAAATAAAAGTTAAGAAACGTATAGGACACACTACTTGTAGACGTATCTAAGGTCTATGTTCTTCAAAAACGTCCTGTGTTCAATCGCGAAACTATGCGTCGTCCTGAAAACAAGGTCTCTAACATGACTCGTCTTCTTGTACTTACAAAACACGTTTTGATGAGTGTGTACCGCTTGTCCCCAGTCGCCGGATCGGGCGAACTAGCGGAGAATACCTAGTGGTCGCATCTTGATACAATTTATTAAGTACCCGCAAAATTGAATTGTTTGGTCCATGCCGGTATAATGCTTCGGCGTAAGTGACCTCGTTTGCAACGCCACTTTTTGCAGCTGTCGCTGCGACTTGAGACCAACGACGCACGCTCTTCAATAAGACACAATTTTGTGCACTCACGATGATTTTAAGGGTTGTTTGACTTCATCCAGAACTTCTTCTTGGACTGGGTCAGGGATGTGAGCACCAATGAAAATGTGATAGCTCCAGGCTGCTAAGACGGCTCCGAAAAATGGAGCGATAACCGGTATCCAGAAGTAGTAGTGCTTGCTGATACCCTGCAATTATTATTAGGCTGTGTCAGTAATCTAAGTGGATCATTGAGCTTTTGACTGTTGGCAGTAGAACTTTTTAGAGGATTTCTGTGGATTTGGTTCATTACTACTGCAAGAGTTTCATTCAAGAACAATCGGTTATATTTCCATGCAACACCTCTATGAAGAACCTGATCAATCTGTGTCAAGTATTTCTATCTTTTGGTCAATACTGATCGCATAATCTCCAAATGCTGAGGTGGTCCAGCGTAGTTCCCACCCTCTAGTGAAGTTCTTTCAAACGGCTCGGCTTTGAGGCCAAATGCGTTACGAATACGTTTGAGATTGGGAATAAAAAAAAGTGTAGCGTATTTCTGGGAATATGCTTCCAAGGGGTCATCAGTGCAGCAAGGCAAGAAACAGCACGCTAGGCAACAGTTAGTAGTAAAGGTGTCGGTGGATATACCGGCTGCTGTCGTCCGAAGCGCGGCGGCAGTGAAAGCCACCCGCGGCGCTTTCTTCCTATGGTTTTCGTCTTTCTTAATCAACAGCTTCTGCTTCTTCTCGAATCAACAATTACTTATAGAAACTGTAGTCGGGGACGGGCTCACTGCACCCTTCCTGGCACTGCCCCGGCTGATTGTGACAATGTAAACTATAGCCGCTGTAATCATCATCTGAAAGCGTTCCCATCCGCATGTGATAGCGCATTGGTTGTGCTCTTAAGCAAGATAAAGACCAGCACGTCCCTCGCATGAGGCACTTCATGGGTTATGGGGAATGTACATCAGAAAGCTTAACTCACGTGAATACTTCAGAGCCGTAAATGAAGAACGCGAATATTCGCGGTCCGAGATCCACGTGCACAGAGATTGACTCAGGTATCCGAAGATCTATGTACCCATGCATTGTGCCTAAGGTTCCCGCAATCATTTTCTCGTCAGGCACTATATACCTGCCATACATCTGTAAAATTTGCAATAGAAAACTCGACGACTGTGCTGTTAGACTCAGACTTTTCTGGCAAAGGTGTTAGCGCAGCTCTCAAGGCGGAACCATCAAACCAGTGACTAAATAAGCCAATACAAACAAATAAATTAAGAGTAAATAAATTGAGAAAGAGAAGAAAAATTCAGGAAAGTAAACCAGCAGTATCGTTATGCCATTTCGAAGCATGTTTGCCTTAATAGCTTTGCGTTGAATATTAGGCGCAAGCTTTTTATCCTCATCACATGAATTAGTGGCATCAAAAGTATGTGCAGACTAGGTGAATTGACGCTTGATTACTAGAGCAGACGCAGAGGAAACGTTTCCACCTCAACATCGTCTTTCCCTGTTCTGTTTACTGATATGAGCTCCCACCCACAAGCCGAGCATGAAGTGGGCGATGAGCGTAGGAGGGAGCGGGGAAAGAGTGCAGGATCAAGTATCAGAATGGCTCAAATTGCCGTACCATCGACAACTATGTGTTAGGGACAAAAAGGGTATACAGTGCATGAAAGCGGCTACGGGTTCTGGTTAGTAGAAGAGCATACCCTCTTGCACGCGAACGCTCAGCCGTCACTACGACCATGGCTGTGAGAGCAGCGCACAACTTGTTTGGTCCTCGTTTCCTAGCCTAACTCTAGCACCTTCGACAGCGATGTTGAGAATGAAGCGGGTGTGTGGCGCAACTGAATGTTGAGAATGAGCGGTCAAATCCGTTTTTTCAAAAATGACTTTTTTCCCCACCACCGAATACGACCCCTCGTCACGGATTTCTTGCTAACGCTTGACTTACTTCGAAGGAGTTCGAGCCGGCATTTGATTTATGAGCGAGGAAGGTAATTGGGTGGCAAGCTGTGCCGCTAACCCCGTGTGGTCTGGTGATCGAATCTCGGATCGGCTGCCCAAACTAAATTTTCTGCTTACCAGAGCGACTAGATAGGACCAGACTTATCTCGGAGTACAAAAACACTAAATTGCACTCCATTCCTCAAGAGCTAACAGTGAAAAATGAATCATTTTTCGTTGCTGCATTTTTTAAATAGCTAGATCGGCTATGACGGCAGCGAACGATTTTTTACACACTAGGGCAGTTCTGCCTTTGTGAGAAAAAATTTGCAAAATAGGAGATCTTGCACTGGTCACAACTTTCTTGATTTCAACAGTCTTGTCATTCTCCATAAGATCACGAGCTTATTTATATACGAAAGCCCCTCAAGGGGCGATTCATCGTTTTCTATATTGGACTGAGCTGCTAAGGACTTAAGGACTTACCGATCATTACAAGAACAAAACCAAAGAGGAAGGGATGAGCGCATGCTGGTATACCGTTTCGACGGTCGATAATAACAACCACAAGAATAGCAGCAACCTGTCGGTACCGTGAAATAAACCAAACTAACACTGCACAATAAGAGAAAAACTGCTGCTACTTCCACCTTTTCAGAAGCGGGGGTACAATTAAAGCCCATATAAAAAAAGAAAAAGTAAAAAGGTGTAATAAAAAATTACACCTTTTTTCGCATATTGTTGTTTGACTTCGTTTCGTTCGTTTTTTCTTCTTCTTTCTTCTTCTCCTCTCTAGACTGTCACTTGTAACCTTGTTGCCCTTCATGATGTCCCAGTTTTTAGCCTGTACCTGCTGCTGTTAGTGTTGCGCAATGGGAGTTGGCCTCTAGCGACGTTGGCGGACCTACTACGACGGTATCCGGAGTTCGTTGAAGTTGGTCCGAACCTGCAATGTGGCGGCCACTGCCCTTCCGAGCTACATATCTGTCATCTGCATCTCCGGAGCGGCGCCCACACCCCCCCCCGCTTCCTCTCCTTCCATTCTCTGCCCCCCACCCTTTTCTCCTATCCGCATTGTCTATATGAGTTAATCGAATTATATCGCCTGTATCACCTGTATCCGACTTGTCCTCGTGTGTTACGCCATCCACGCAAGTCGACTTTGATCCATTCATTCCGGTCTTGTGCGCATCTTTTCCACTGTTGGCCGAACATTTTCACCATTGGATCGGCCCATCTCGTTTTAGGCCTTCCCAGCGGTCGTTTGCGATCCAAGGGAATCCAATCAGTGAGCCGGGAAGTCCATCTGTTATCTCTCAGACGCGCCACATGGCCGGCCCATGCTCGTTTCCTTTTATACAATTCCTGGACAATATCAACAAAGCCACTTCGCCTTCGAAGTTCCGTGTTCGAGATATGATCACGCAATGATATTTTGCAAATTCTGCGTTCCATTGACCGTTGCGTGACCGCGAATTTCTCTTCGTCTGCTTTGGTGGTTGACCAGCACTCAGCGCCGTATAGTAGTGCGGGTACGACTGTGGAGTGAAACAGTGACGCTTTTATTTCCATCGCAAGGCTTTCGTCTAGCAGTGTCGTTGAGATTTTGTTGAAGCTAGTCCATGCTGCTTTCCTGCGCCTGCTAAATTCTCCTCCAGCGCCCTCTGTAAAGCTGAGCTGGTACCCTAAGTAGACGTAATTCTGGACTTCTTCTATTTTTTCGCCTTCGACTGTAATCTCCGTCATAGGACTGAACTGGTTTCTCATCCATTTCGTTTTGGAGAGGTTCATCTCGAGTCCAATCTCCTTTGATTTATTCTGAAGTTGAACCAGCTTGTCCTGAAGCTCTCTTGCGTCTTGTGCAAAAATGACGCAATCGTCCGCAAAAAGCAAATGCGTGAGATTTTCGCCGTCGATTTCGATGCCGCCGCTCCAATTCAAACTTCCGAAGAGGGCCTCCAGTGTTATTGCAAAGAGCTTCGGCGAAATTGTGTCTCCTTGACGTACTCCCTTGCAGATCTTTATATGACAGGGGTCAATCATGCACATTGAGAGCTTGATCTCTGTACTGCAGCCGTCGTTCATCTCTTCCAGGAGGTCGACGTAGTTTGTATTGATTCCAAATCTGTTCAACGCATTGAATACTGCGTTCGCTCAAACCGAAGCGAAGGTCGTTCTTGGTAAACCGACAAAGCCAAGCATAGGGGAATTTGGAATTCTCCACATTTTTCCGTAAGCTGACGTACAACATGTAAATGGTCCATCGTGGAATAACCGCTCCGGAAGCCGGCCTGTTCTCTACTCGTAGCCATGTCTAAGTCCTTGACGATACGGTTCAAGATTATTCTCGTGAAGGCTTTGGATATTTGTGACAAAAGCGTGATGGGCCTGTAGTTGTATGAATATTAATTCGCAATATGTTCCTATTTCTTTTTGGCATTGTTTGTACCGATGATAAATGGAAACAAATCAAATATGGACCTGCATTTACATTATCATTTTAATTGTCATGATAAAAGGGCTTCATGCGTTTCAAGTTTTGAGTCTTAACTCGCAGTTCTGGAGAAGGAGAAGATTCCCTTGATGTTGTTTTGAAATGTCCTTAAGAACCCTAGGGGAATTTGACGCGAACTGAGCTGCACAATAACCTAGAGGGTCAGTGTTTTCATCGTCCCGAGCAAGAGCGATACCAATCAACCGAGAGATAGTCTCTGCGAGCTGGACGAGAGCCCAGCCGAAATCAAACCTTTGCCATGCGCCCGTAGTGAGCGAGACAACTTTTCACTACCCTAATCTTCGTCCTCGTCTTCTTACTCAAAAAAGAATAAACATTCTACAGGGAAGATCAACATTTATGGACTGCTCTGCGTAGAATCTATACTTCTGGTTATCTTTTCATTCCACTTTTGTGGAACTGACCAGAATACCGACAAGCAAGTTACTTCACCCCAAATACCACGGAAATGAGACACATTTAGGATAGCGCGGGCGAAATGTGGAGACAGCACACGTGCATCACTGACTTCTAGCAACGTTCCCGTGCACTTCTGCGTGGGGAAGTCGGTGCGCACAAGATCCCTTCGTCTTGCAAGGGCCGTTCTCATTTCATTTTCCTCTCACGACAACTACTTAGAAATATTCCCGCTTGTGGATTTTCTGGTGACAGGCTTCGGACTACGCAAATGGTCCGCATCTCCGTCGCAGTACCATTCACTGTTTGTATGAAGTCTTGAGTAGGCTTTTGGAATACATCTTTCAGTCGAAATTAGGTAATAGTTCATTCGGCGCCGATTGACAATTCCTCTGTACTGCGCCATGCATCCGACGCAGAGTTGTTGGGAAAATGTTACCTTCACGTAAGGCTTCTCCGTGAAGGCAGATATGCACTTCAGAAACGTCC